CCAAAAGCATTTTAGGCTTTAGCCCAGTTTTTTTTTTTGAATCTACGGTACCCTCATCATTATGGAACTTTTGCTCACCTGACGAAGCTGTTGCTTGGTTGAAAGTCTTATAAAACAAATATTTTTATAAGCATGTAATAATGATGAATAACGAAAACTGCTTGTAATTAATATGTCTTGGAAACTAGGTTTCGTTTAACCTTAACGGAGTGTTGTGTTATTTTCATGCCATGAAACTCTTCAGTAAAGCAGGATAGCGATACTTAAAAATAACCCATCTTTCAATATAAAAATGATTTTGTAATTTCATAACTGAAACACGTAATATTATTTAGCTAGAAGATCTTGAGTAGAAATAGTTTTTATTGATTTTCTAAAATTAGTAGCTTATCTGGGTCAACTTCATCGACAAATTTGCATCTTCTTTAAATTCTTTTGCGTGAAATTATATATTTATAAAAGACGATAACTTACGCCCAGCAGGGATGCTACCATCAGGACATGTCACATTATCAGGTAGCCCTGGAGGTAATGGTATTTCTGGCAGATCGGGTCCCCCGGGTCCTCCGGGTCCGTCGGGTCCGCCGGGTGGTGGATCTGGTTGTGCAAAAGAAGACGCTAGTGTTGCTAGCAATATTATTGCAGTAGAGGAGAACATCGTTGCTGGTTGGACCGGAAACCAACAGTGGTTATATAGTAGAATCCCAAAGCAGATGGATAAACAAGGTAATGCTCGAATTGGACCGTTACAGCTTTGTTCTATTGTTTTCGGTCAATTGTGTACAGCTTCATGAATGTATATAGTAATGCGCGAACACAGGATGAGGATTCGTGGACATTGAATTTTACGAAAGAATAACCCTATAAGAAGCAAAACAAGACAAGCAAGTGGAACAATACATTCAGATATCATATAAAAATTCTTCTCAAACTTGACTTTCTTCAGAAAGGTAGTTTTCGAGTAGTTTGGCATAACATATAAGGAACCAATGTTCTACTACGATTGATCCATTTTGAGGGGATACATAACATAGATTTTCTAGTTGAAAGATTTTCTTCTCAAAACCTGCCCTATAAGACAAACATAGCTCTTCCTGACCAATCGAAAGAGTAGCGAAATGAAAAGTAGATGGCAGTTCTGTCATGTCACGAAAATCATGAGGAATTCGAAATAAGTCCTTGAAATGTTGTAATAGTAACTCAAAATATAACAACTTATACCGCATAACAATAGACTTTGCGTGCAGGAGAATAATTCCTTTCAGTGGTTTCGTCCAAATTG